AGAAAAAATCGATAAAAGGATCATATTTGCGTAATTTTAAAACTAAAAATATAAATTTGTATTACATTTTATTTTTAATGATAAAATATTTTTAAAAAGGAAAATAAACATACCCTTAATAATAGTTTTTTAAAAATTAAATGCCATAAAACATAATTTAAATTAAAGACTAAAATTGTAATTAAAATCTTTTATATATTCACCTCGATATTAAAATAAGCCTACATTATGCAGATCGTCATCATGACTAAGTTATTTGAAAGTTTAGAGCAAATGAAGTTTAACCCATGTTATTTTTTAAAATTTGGGTTGACAAATATCTAGTATAAACTCAACTATTCTCTTGTTGGTATTTTAATTTGACTTAATTTCTAATGATCAATGATGGTGATGGGATGGTGTATTTATAAAACACTCTAACGTTGAGGTAAATCAATATTTAAGAAAAAAAGTTATAGGCTAGATTTGAATTATCATCCTTAGATGGTATGCTCCATTACATAACACTGTATATGATAAAATAATGAAAGCGAGAAAGTCATCTCCCAATAAATAAGAAAAGTTACAGCTCTTAGTGAGATGAGGAAAATGACAATGCAAAAAAGCATTATCCTTAAGAATGGAATTGTGGCTCGTCTAAGGATCTTAGTAATAAAAGTATGCTAATTAATTAGATTAAGCTGTGCAGATATTGAGCTAAGATATGATCTAGAATAATTCAAAATATTTGCCCCCCCAGCTGACATGTAACAAAGGTGGGATATCGGGTGATGTTAGTGATTATGAAAAGGGTCGTTGGTTTGATATTTTTGAGATTGGTGTGTCTATGCTTATACTCATCTATTTGGCAAATGTTCTTGATGATGATGATGGTTTTACTAGAGCTAATTAAGAAAAGAGAATGCATAATATTCTTTTGGTACCCTAAACCACTCGGACTTCTAGCTTTTATATATGACATGAAGACTTGTTTGATTGTGTATACTTAAAATTAAAATAGTAATATGTAGAATTTCAAAACATAAATGCGTTGCTAGTCTATTATTACTGCTCAACAAGAGCTTGAGTCCATAAATGTTCTCCAGTCTTACTGGTTTATTGAGATTTAGTAATTGGAGTTCCTTTCATTTGATACGGTGGTGACTATACTCCTCAAGTAATTCGACCTTAGCTTTCTCGAAATTTTTGAGGTTATTGTATTTAGGATAAAGGTCTCTTGGCTAGTAATACAGCAAATGACCCAGTCACAAGATACTAATCATGAAGTGTAAGGTGATCATGACGTTGTGAAGTGATTCATCTAGCTTTTGCCTAATTCAGGATAATTAAAATGGGATGATTGTGATTGTTCTTTACTCATAATAATTGATGGAGAAAATTGCTTGCTAGGTTTTCCTAATTGTTAATTGATCTAGTGGTAATGTCGAAAACCATTGGCAATCCACCTTCTATGATGTTAGGGGAAACCTTGCACATCAAATAGGTGTATTTCTCCCAATAATTGCATGACATCAACACAACCTTTAAAATTACCAAAAGAGTAGAAGTGACGTACGATTGGGTAATGTATCTATAAAGGGATACATAAAGTAAGAAACATGGTACTCACTTAAAACTTATTATTTTTCATGTTGGGAACTCTTATGGAAAGGACGTTGTAATTCCTAATATTGTTGTTGGCAAAAACTAAAAAATAAAAAAATTGAAGGTTTGATTCTTTTCTTTGATTTTAATTTCTCTCTCCCTCTTGAGCCTTTTAAATATTATTGTTAGATGGTGAGTTAACCTCTTCATCTTGGGTCGTGAGAGATGGAGTCTGATTCCTGTCTATATTATTTAGGGCTTTGTTTATCTCAATCCCTCCTTCACCAGTAAGGCTAATTAACCCCCATTCTATTGACTTATTTCTATGGGATGGTATTAATTCTTCCTATATAAATCATGATGATGTAATAGTTCAGATTTACCATTTTCCACAGACAGCATCAATGTCCTTATCCGAAATATAGGTAATTAGATACCTAATTAACCAAATTGCTCCTGTTGTTGTTCCGACTCATTGTGCTTCTATCGATTGATTGCCATTGACGATTTGCTTCCACAATATCAAGGTTGTGGTTTGCCTATAAAACACTATGATGCTCAAGTAGCTAAATACTTAAAGGACTTCAGTGTTTGAGGCTAGATTTAGATGATCATATTTGTGTGTAAGTTCCCGTATCTAATGTTGTATCTTGCCAAAATAAAGGTGAGAAAGTTATATCTCCTATGTAAATTGAAGAGTAAAAAATAATTGTTATTCGTATAAGAATAAAATTATGTCCGGTATCTTCTAAAGTTCTCAAGTAATAAAAAAAGTTGATTAATAGTTATGAAAAATATATATTTAAATTAGACCAACTTATCAACTTAAAATAAAAAATAAAATAAAATGACATTACGAAAAACCTATACGAGACGGTCTTAATTTTCAAGTTATGTTAGGCAGATAATTAAACTAATAAGATGAGCTAACTTTATTGTCATTAATGAATATGTTCTTAATGAATAATGAAAGTATATACTTTTTGAAAAATTCAAGCTAATATATAACCGATAAGTTTTCATTATTATTATTATTATGTCAAAATAATAGAGAAAATAACAAGAACAATTGATTAAACGTAAGTTGAAAAAAATTCGTAATGATTACAACTTTTGAAGTGAAGTATATAGTTGATAGCACGGAGCCATATATGATACACGAGCCCAATGCGCCATACATTATTTTCCCTTTCACCTTCTTGTTTTCATTATTAGAAGAAGAAAAAAATAGAGGAACAATAATATATAATAAGTGATGTATTTTTAAAAAAATAAAAAGTGTAAATAAGTATAAAAGTTATAATATGAAACAAAGATAATGTTACATTCAAAATAAAAAATTGAAAAAATGAATTGAATGGAAGTATATGCAGAGCCAGGGTGTAATGAAAAGTAAAGAGAGCCACTTGAAATTGGAACCCAAAACTTTGGTTTCCACTGGCACATGTGACATGTCCAGTCATCAATTTCTGAGCTGGCCATATCAGAAGGGAAAAGTGAAACCCTGTGTTGAGTCTACTAGTCTTGCATATTCCATCTATGAACTAACGTAGAAAAAGGTTGAGAGAGATATGTCTATGGACCCATGCACTGAGCAACGAAAGAGGAGAGAGAGAGAGAGAGAGAGAGAGAGAGAGATAACAGAAGCAATTGGCAATTGGCAATTGGCAATTGGCAATTGGCAATTGGACAAGTTGCCTTTTGCTAAACTATAATAAGACAAAGGAAAAAGTGGAATGAAGGATGAGTTTGGCACTATAATTTAATCAAGTATTTGTTTAATATTTTTTACATTATAGTATATGATAAAAATTTAATAATAATTTAAAATTCGACCTCAACTTGCAGTATCGTGTTTCTCTTTCCCTCTATGGGTGTTTTATTAGTATAAATATTTATGAGGAATTTTTATTTATATATAGATAGGCATGACTATTGTTCCTTGTACTTCTTAAAATGAATATGCACACTTATGATTGTGCAATGTGCTCTCGGTAGTTACTATGTCATTTCTCCCATGTTGCATGTTATTCATTCCCATATCTGTGGGTCTCGTGTGCTATGAATATGTGTCTACCTTTTTGAAAATATGTAGGAGATGCCTAGCTATCCCCCTCATCAACCATTACCATTTCTAAGTTTGGTGTAATTGAAATTAATTCTATTAAGACCTTGTACACAATCAAATAATCATTATGAAACCTTCATAACCATTTCATTACCAAGTTCATAATTTCATGTTTTTATTGACAACATTATAGTATATATCATTTCGTAATATAAAAGATGTTAATAACATATATTTTATAACACAATTTTAAACACACTGATTAAAATTTATATAAACTTCACTTCGCATTTAATGAATTATAATTATTAATTAAAAGTCTTCCATGCACCATGCTCTTCATATTATCCTTGTACAGTGGCAGGAGATGTAACATTATGCTAGCTTGTTGTAAAGTTGCAAAAAAAACAAAAAAAACAAAAAATAGGATAATCATCCCAGTTTTGGCTCACACGAATTATTATTTATCATTATGGTCGTACGTATCGTTTAATTAATATTCTTAGCTTTTTAGCTGTGCTTTCGTCTTTACATGAAAAACTGTTTTCAACATAATTAGTTATTAATATATACTATCTAAATCCAAAGACACAAGTAAATTATTATTCAGTCTAACGTTTTGATGGAGTGGTGGATCCCCTAGTGGCGAATCTAATCCACACATAAAAGATCATTTCTAGCAGTGATTAGGTGTTAAAACTTGCCTTCTAGTCGCATGATTTTCAATTAACCTTCAAATTAATGACCTTATAATACGGGAAGGAGTCATTTTGAATTACCCAATCTTACAATCACGGACCTATATATTTCTAATTAATGTTTGTGCCTGTATAATGAACATTTCTATTTATATATCTATTATAGTTAACAATTTCACTAAATATGAACTTTTTTAATTTTGTATTAACATTTTATTTAAAATTTATACTAATGAACCGAGAAACTAGGTTAATAAAGGTCTTTAGAAATGATTAGCAGAATTTATTTGCCAGTTGAATGAGTAATAAGATGATTGATTCATATTAGAGAGTGGGTATGCTTTATCGATGAGTATGATCGCTGTCAAGAGGGGACCAAAGTCACATCTTTGTTTTTGTTGCAAACCAAAGATTCTTAGCCTCTCTCTGCGTCACTCATTCCATACACCAACCCTTTTTACCATTTCAACACTCTCCGACCTACACGTGTCACCATCCCTGCGCGTAAAACATTCCCGTCGAAATCCCCAACCCCGTTCCGCGATCGGGACACGTGTCCGTCACCGTTTCACAGCAGGGGCAAAACGGTAATTCAACTGGCGAGCGTAAAGCGCTATAAATAGAAAGCTCAAGTGCGGTGAACCAAAAGAGAGAAAGAGGGAACAAGGTAGTGAGAGGTTCAATAATTGTTGTGTTTTTCTCGGTTCCGGAAGAACCAGGGAATGAGTACAGAGAGATGAGAGGTATTTGGCTCAAAAGAAGTGAAATTGGTGGCCAAGCCAAGCGCAGAATCGGCGGCAGAAATTGCCACCGCAAACACGTCGAAGACGGGTGAACTAGAATCTGGATTCCAGAATCTAGAATCAATCCACCACCTCTCTTTTCTCTCACCCAATTATCTGTATAGTAAAATCCCAGTGTGTTTTTTAAGAATCTGTAGTGCTACTTATAGTGTTTTTAATTATTTTCATTGCCATGGGTGACAAAGATGCAATTAACTCCACGTTGCTCCACGGGAAGTACGAGCTAGGTCGGTTACTGGGACACGGAACGTTCGCGAAGGTGTACCACGCACGGAACCTCAAAACCGGAAGGAGCGTGGCCATGAAGGTGGTGGGGAAAGAGAAGGTTATGAAGGTTGGGATGATGGAGCAGATAAAGAGAGAGATCTCCGCCATGAACATGGTGAAGCACCCCAACATCGTGCAGCTCCATGAAGTCATGGCCAGCAAGTCCAAGATCTACATCGCCATGGAACTCGTTCGCGGCGGAGAACTCTTCAACAAGATCGCGAGGGGTCGATTGAGGGAAGAAGTTGCGAGACTGTACTTCCAGCAACTCATCTCCGCCGTCGATTTCTGCCACAGCCGCGGCGTCTTCCACCGCGACCTCAAGCCGGAGAATCTCCTCCTCGACGAAGAAGGGAACCTCAAGGTCACCGACTTCGGCCTCAGCACCTTCTCGGAGCATCTCTGGCACGACGGTTTGTTGCACACCACGTGCGGCACGCCGGCGTACGTGGCGCCGGAGGTCATCGGAAAAAAAGGCTACGACGGCGCTAAGGCTGATATTTGGTCTTGTGGAGTCATTCTTTATGTTCTTCTGGCAGGGTTTCTACCGTTCCAAGATGAGAATCTGGTGGCTATGTATAAGAAAATTTACAGAGGAGACTTCAAATGTCCACCGTGGTTTTCATCTGAAGCGCGGCGTTTAATTACAAAGTTGCTTGACCCGAACCCGAATACCCGAATCACGATTTCGAAGATTATGGACTCATCGTGGTTTAAGAAACCGGTGCCAAAGAGCATGATGGAAAGGAGAAAAAATGAGATGGAATTTGAATTGGATTTGGAGGAGAAGCTGAAACTGCAACAGCAACCGTCGACGATGAATGCTTTCCACATAATTTCGCTTTCGGAGGGGTTCGATTTGTCGCCGTTGTTCGAGGAGAAGAAGAGAGAAGAGAAAGAGGAGATGAGGTTCGCAACGACGAGGCCTGCAAGCAGCGTGATTTCGAGGTTGGAGGAGGTGGCGAAGGCGGTGAAATTCGACGTTAAGAAGAGCGACACTAAGGTGAGGTTGCAGGGTCAAGAGCGAGGGCGTAAAGGGAAATTGGCTATTGCTGCGGATATTTACGCCGTTACGCCGTCGTTTTTGGTGGTTGAGGTTAAGAAGGATAATGGTGATACCTTGGAGTATAACCAGTTCTGCAGTAAGGAGCTTCGTCCTGCTCTTAAAGACATTGTCTGGAGGGCTTCCCCTCCCGAGAATCCCACGCCTGCTTGAGTATTGTCGTTTAGGAGCATTCAATTGTCGTCTCTTCCAACTTTGTTTTTGTTAATTCTTCCTTTTTAGATGTCACCATTCAGAGATATTTCCCTTCGATTATTTCCCTCTTTTTCGATTCACTGTTGAAAAGCCAGCGAATCGAAATCGATGATGCTGTTGTGTTTGTGGATATGATGCTGGTGTTGTGTGAATATGTTTGCAAATGGATTGTTGCGGCTTAATGCTTGTGTTTTACTTTATCTTAAAAAACATTCAGCAGCCAGTATTTTATTTTTTTCGACTAATCCTAAGATATTTACTGAATAATAGAATTGAAAAACTGAAGAATATGTTTGCATACACTGTAGTTCATCTTTTATGTGAAGATTTTAGACGCTTTCATTTGGTTGGATCAGCGGTAATTGCAGCTGTGAGAAACTAATGGTCATTAATGATGATCATCAATGCTTATTAATTCGCTCAAGCTTTTACCTGGTGGTCCAGAAAAATCCTAATATTCATTTTTAAAGTTAATTAAAAATAAAATATTTTTACAGATTGTAAGTAACAAATTTCTAATATTTAACAAAGGAATTTGAGCCAGCATTTTTTATAAGATATAGTTTTTATGTTTACAAAAAGTAGATTAATTTTAGTTGGCAACATAATGTGATTTCGATAGCATTGATTTTCACCTACTTTTTCAGGTAAAGCTGTTAAATTGGGTCATTTGTGGCCCTCACCCAAGAAATTTAAGGAGATAAGGAGTTTACCAAATTGGATTATTGTTTGTCAATTCCTTATATTCTTCCTTTTCCTCTCTCTGATTTATATTTTTAGAAAAATCAATAAAGTACACTGTGCGATGTTTACTGTTTAGTTTAAAGTTAGGTTGATATATATGTATTTGCCGTGTTTTGAATAGCGAATGGAGGTCAATATCTTATCTTAACGATAAGAATGAATGAATTATATTTTAGAAATGAAAAATGTGAAATTATAAGGATATCAATTAAAAGTATAGATATATATATAAAGTAATTGCTGTTTTTATTTGATAAGATTAGGCACAGCAGACTAATTTGACTCGGTGCCCAATACCTGCGGATGGATGGATGGGTTTGCTTTTAAATTTCTCCAATTGCCAAGCTTGCATGCTTACATTCATCACAGATAAAATATAAAGCTCACACGTCGATTTAATCAAGTTTAACACGGGTTAATTCTAATAACAGAGAACTTTTCTATTCAAACAATGGTGGGGTGTCTAGAAAATAAGATACATTTTTATACGAGTTTTTGTAAGAATTATGAGATGACATAATTAACATGATAATTTAACAGATATGCCTAGCATTTTTTTTTTTTAAGTTGATGCAGACATATCAACAATCTCAGCTAGAGTATATAATCTATAAATATTAAACAAGAGTCTTTTAAGGAATTTATGTTTATAAGAATATATGCAAAAATATGAACTACTTTTTGTATTTAGAGTGCACTAATTTTATGTTAAAGTTATATAAGTCGTTAGTTGTGTTAAAATTAGTTAACTTTAAAAATAAAAAAAAAGTAAAATTATATAATTTTTACTAAATTATTTTAGTTGTTAAAATATATATTTTCAAAAGGTAATACACTTTAAGATTGTAACTATAAAGTAAATAAGATATTAAAAACAAGAATAAGAAAATGCATGTTTGTCCTAAAGAATGTATTTTAGACAAGAATGTAACAAAAGGTTGAACAAGTGCCATATTTATAAGGTACTACGCTATGAAGTGAAGAATGACTATTTTAGTTGACCTCCCCTCCCCTTCACATGCCCCTTCACATGCAAACAAGGCAAATAAGATACTGTGTGTCCAATATGTATGAAGTTCAACAACATACATGTTTTTCTTAATAATTACATTTTGTACATTAAAGAATGTCCTATTTATGCAGTATTACACTAAAGTGATGAATGACTATCTTCTAACAATTTTAAGGTTCAAACAATTATTTGTTGAGTTAAATAATGCAGTGAACATTAGATAGAATGTTGATGAAAGGCAACTGATCGAAAACTCTATCATTTGACTAGAAGAAAATTGATAAGTTACTTTGGAATTTAGCAATAAGGTAAACAATCTTAAACTTAGATTAGTAATAAGATACATAGGCTATAACATAATTGCGTTTCTTTAATGTCATGTGTAGTAAATTGATTAATTTTTAAAAGTTGGATGAGTTAGAAAATGAAATTGCTCTTGTCTTGTGTAATTTAGAAATGTACTTTTCTATTTCATGTTTTACATAATGATTCATTTACTTTTTTTTTTTTTTTACATAATGATTCATTAGTTAAGAAATGCATAAAAATCCTGAAAACTATTTCTAAAGCGTCTAATGTTAAAAGTTACATTACAGAAAAAGTCATTGAATTTTGTAAAGACTACTTGTCATAAATAAAATTTATATGGTCACAAATGTTAAAAGCCCTCTAATAATGCCTCTGTTTGCTCAAAATTAATGAATTTAAGGAAAAATGTCACACTTAGAACAAGATATATTAATGACTTTCATTTTCACACCAAGTTTTATGTTAAACAATCCAACTAACTAATTTGATTTCACCTGTTATTAGTCCTTTGTTGTTGTATTTAAAATATTATTCTATGTACATTTGTGTACTTTGAGGACAAGCAATTATTACTTATACTTTTGTGATATTTTGTTTACCAAAGGACTTGATGAGATGTGTAAGTTTTTACTTTGAAATAAACTTTGTATTTAGTATTTAGTGTACACCTATTGTCGTACCAATACCAAATGTTTAGACAATTATTAATATATTAGCAATTTTTATATTTACATCTATTGTCTATTGTCTTACATAATATTCAATTCCAAAGTAAATCATTTCTCTACTTTGACAAAGATCACTCCAATACATAATATTCTATTGCTTTTATATCCTTCAACTTTGACAACATCTATCCAACCTTAGTTTCCAACAACTCAATGTTATTTTTAGTCTTGATTGCAAAATTTATCCTATATTTCAACAACTCACTTGAGATATCCACATTGGGACTCCCCTCTTGGTGGTGTTGGGCATCTTAAATATAATCTTCTAGGTTTTCTCTAATTCTTAGATATTTGATTTGACAAGTTTTTTTCTCCACAAAAGCATGTTTTCTGCGACTAGTCTTTAATAGTAAATTTGTTTTTGCCTATGTTATGATTTCGGCGCAGTTGACGCGGGAACTGCACCGTGTATTTAGGCAAAATTTTGCATTTTTGCTTAAACAAAAATGTGTAGGCTTAAGCAAAAATACAAAATCACGTAACGGAACAGCGTAATTACTGTACTGAATCGGGATCCGATTACTACTAATACTTCAACTTAGCTCCCTAAACTAAAAAAGTTATTTGAAAGTTGTAAAAATATATTCAACTATAAACAAATATATTATCATTGTAATTAAATTAGGAATTTTTATATTTAAGGATTTAAAACACTAAATAGACACATTTCATAAACAAATGTTCCCACTTAAATCCTTTCAACCATTAATAATAATATGTGTACAAACTTATTTGGCACTTAATAACATATTATATCAATTGTTCTGTTATTCTAATTAATTGTTAATTATTCTAAGAACCAATATAATTAATAATTATATAAGTTAAGGACTAATATAGTTAATTTTTTTTAGCAAGAACTAATTTAGTAAACCTTGAAATAATATGGAGATCAATACAATGATTTATTCTTCTTCAAGAAATTGGAATTGCATGCTTTAATGTAATACAAAAACAATCATTTTGAAAGCTTGAGATCTGTACAGTTAAATATTTAACTGAAGATCTTGATCCCAAAAATATAAAATTTAAAAGACTAAAATCAATCAACAACCCAACAAAAAATAAGAAAAAAATTTTCTATCCGTTGTCATTTTCGTTTTTCTTTTAATAACTAGCACGTCTCTTTGGTTTAGCCAAGGGCCATGAATGCAGCAAAATTCTGAATCTCCAAGCATCTCGATGATTTATTAAATTCACAGATTCAGAAGAAAATCTGTTGGCAGAGAAAAAAATCCAAAACATGTTTCGGACACCATTTGAAAGTTTAAATCCTGCTGTCTAAAATATACAGCGCATTTCTATATACTGATCCAATCTTTCTTTCCTTTTTGTTTGGTTAAATTGAATAATTTTTTTAATATGCGCTTAAAATAAACATGAAAATGATAATAATAATAGTGCACTATTAACTAAGATAGGATTTACCATGAATTTGTTTCTATAATATCATCACTTGTCATAAAAACCATCAGTAACAAAGAATGCATCATGTATATCAGCAAGAAAATATTTTTCGAATTACTTAAACCATAATTTCTTGGTGGTGTGGACATATGCAATTATGCAAAACAGATGCTATCTTTGTAGCTTTGCAACTATGTGGGGAAGGTTTGGATCGGCTGAGTTGAAGATTCTTTAAGCTAGTCAGTGTCAGTAATAATTTCAAAAAATTTAATCCTAATTGTTATGCAATGTATATAACTACGTTTTGGGGTATTGAAAATCTTGCAGAAGGCTATGCATTTGGTTATAGCTATTGTAAGGAATTGTAGGCCATGCATTTGTTGGGAGATTCAGCTAATTCCTTTATTCTTGATGTTTATATGAGCTTGATTAGGGATATCTTACCTAATTTTCACAATAATACTAACTATGTTTACAAGAAACGACAAGATTTATCATGGAAATAATGCTTTATAATTAATTAGTGTTGGGTATCCACTGATTTATTTATCGAAAGGGTGCTGGTGAGTGTTTTGCTTGAGTTTGTTTTACTAGCAAATGATAAAGAAAATGCAGCGTTTAGGATAGAATATGGAGGTTGATTATTTGATATATTTTTTCTTGAAATATCACAAGACACTATTGTAACACTTTTTTTATTATTAGAAAAATTCAGGTGAGACTTGATAAATTATTTGAACTATATCCTCTAATATATTTCATTAATTATTTAAGAATACAAAGCGTGCTGTTAGCAGTGCAATTTTTTCCTTTTACATTTGTGATAAAATACGAATCACACATGATTTATTGTTTTATTATTTATTTATTTATGTGTTTTATCTTTTCTGGATGCGTTGCAAATAGTGCACTTACCGGAATTTTTTTGGCAAAATAAGCCCAACCAATAACAAAATGAGACCAAAATATGGGACAACTAAGCCCAAAAGCCCACAGGTTTACGTGGTGATTTACAGCACCAACAATCGTTGTTGACAAAACAAAAAATATAATGTTATATATTCTATTTCATTTTATTTA